CAACACTGCATGGTATGTTGACACCGGCGTCTCTTCCGTGTAGCTACCTTGACTCTCCGTCATTTATGCACGCGCATAAATCTGACAACTTAAACATATATTTTTTTGCGACCTCTTTTCATGGCGAACTTTTGGGATATAATTCTTGGTTTATTACGGTACGAGTTATAGGAATACAGTTTTTACGCGTCGCGGATTTGATTTTCATTGGATTATTAATAAATAAAAGGTACATCAGCTGCCCTGCGTGAATTCAAAATTGATGTTATTAATGCGTTCTTTACACGCTCATTTGGTTTTGGTTCGTTGATGAGAGTAGCAAAACTAGCTAGAATTGGACTGGCAGCATTAAACTCTTGACTCATTGTCAAATTGCACGTTCTATAAACTTCTGAAATTGCTAAATTGATTCACGCTTTACCGGCACTAATGTACAGAAAATTGTAATTTCCTAGGTTTCAATTGCAACTCAAATTGGAATTTAATTCATGGTAAAAAATCAGCAGGTTTAATTCTAAATGAAGCGTGACGACTTGAAATTTCAATTGCGCTGTTCCGCATAGTTTTATTGTGCATTGTATGAAACTTTTTGTACTGAAAAATTACAACGTTAGATATTACACATCATATATGGATTTCACTTGAGGTACTCACGTCGTGTACCGAATTAAAAGTAGAAACTTTGTGATATTGTTGATTTAATATATAAATAATCAATGTGAAAGCGAATTGAAAATTACCTCGTAGTGTTAGTGAATGGCGTACGAGACGGTACTAAAATAACGCTGGCATGCAAAATGCATAAGATAGCACAAATTGTCTAAAGGCTTATCATTATTTGACAGCTGTTTACGGTCATGGGTCGAATTAATTAAAAGTTATAACAGCTTTTAAATCGCCCAATGCAAACCCAGAATATATTTATCGATTCGAAAAACACCTTTTTTCGTGAGATGCAAGGTCAACATAGCAGTGTGCAGGATTTCATTAAAGTATCCACGCCGGTCTACATAGGTTTATATTTTCGCCTTATTTTCAAATTTACTTATTTCTATTTAGTAAATGTATGACAGGAACATGAACATTTTGAATCGATTTCAATGCCTTCTCGAGGATTAGTTATTATTTTATTATTACGATCCTCTGAGCAGCTGGCATATTTCAAAATCGAACCATTGTCAGCGTTTGACCAAGACGGTAAAAATTTACCCCTGAAAATGTTGACAGAAATATCAGTCTTCTCCTTGGTCAACGTGACGTACAATTAAGCCGCCTAAATTGAACGTTGATCAATGCGTGGTCGTCATAGCGGCTTGCCTCATGTTTACCGGCTTGTAGATTTGTTATGCACAGTTCCTATGATACGCAAGTCGGACAATAATATTTAGTACACGTTTCGTCGCAGCTAGAAGTGTGAGACTGTAGCGGCCATTTTTAAAAATAATTATGCCATTTTATTAATTTGATATGGAAAGCAAAATATGAATGCAATTACGTCCATTTATTCCTATCAATTTTTAAAACATTCAGTGAAGCTGCAAAAATAATGATTTTGTCACTCAAGTGATAGTTGTCCAATATATTTTACGTAATACCTAACATTAATATGTAGTAATGTAATATGTAGTAATGTAATATGTAGTAATGTATCTTTCACGAGATAGTGCGCGACTAATGGAAAGTTCTATCAATATGAGCACATTTGCGCACAATAGTTACACTGTTGTCTCAAATCTTGTACAAAGTTATCACGCAGTAAACTTGAAAGCTAGTCGAGAGATACAAATAATAATAGTCACAAATAATTTGCCAATATGTCCGAATTTATTTAATTTTTCGAAATAATATATTGCATGCAAACGTCACGGTATTCTATTGATCTCTAAGATTATCGAGGACTTGCCGTGTGCTTAATTCAAGGCTGCAGTGTTGTTTTCTATGTTTATGTCGTGTCATGAACTTATTATCAACGGTAAATACTTTTTTATTTTCTGATAAATCGATAGAAATGATGAATAGATGATACAAATAGATACTCAAACGTGGGGAGTATAGACCGTAGATTTAAATGAATTACAACATGCATAGATATATAAGATGATATTTCAGCCATTACAATATTAGGGTTTCCAGTTATAAACTAGTGCGTATAATTACTCTAAAATATAATTCTTTCGGTGCATAATTAATGTAATTAAACTCTAGAGGAATGTGATGATGGGGTTTCACTGTCCAAAAATTTCATTCCTATTTAAATAAAAAATAATAAATCCCATCGAGCCAAGTTAGTTGTTATAGATAGTTCATCTGTCACATGTTTAGGAGCACAGTATAGAACATTTAAAAACTTATACACATATCTGAAAGCGAGTTGACTTTTAAGAATAATACAATTAATTTTCAAAATTTTCCTCCAATACACGCCTCATGTATACATATTATGCTCAACATTTCAACTGCGATGCGTTGAGAACCATGGACATGGATACAGTTAGAATGCACGCAATCGTCGATTAGCTTGGTTACAGTTAGAATGCACGCAATCGTCGATTAGTTTGCGCCTGTTCTTATAAGCAGGGGAGCATTCATTTTAAAGTAGCGGTTTGTATTCATTTTTTTATACAAGACACTCGTCCCTTCCTGATATTTTCATCTTAAAAATGACATTAAGTTTATTTGTCGTATGACTCTCAGCTTGAGAGTACCTGGTATTGTTTAGTGTTGAAAGAATTTAATTTTTTTTATTACCCGGTTCCGTGTTATGCATGCTTACAATATATAATTTATTAATAAAGTTCTTCCACTGTAAGGTAAGTTTACAATCCAATTCAAAGGATTTTCGTGCCTATGGTATGGTTTGTTGTTTTGTGTTTCTGTTTATTCTTCGTTCATTATATTTACATTCAACAGTTTATTTATTGAAAATCTTCTGTTTAGAAAAGAGCTGAGTGAAGAACGATAACGTGTTATGTGTCGGGGAACGTTTGTTCGTTGAGAGATTGGAAGCTCCCTAACAATGTTTGAATTTTATTGAAGAAGAATTTAGTAAGAATCTATTTACGTGTAATTTGTTTATGACAGACACATGAAGGCCTTTAGCCTTTCCAAACCATGTAAATTCAGAGGAGGCTTGTCACTCACGCTCACTATTTTATGCCACGGTGTACGCGCAGAAATCAACCGATTTGTGCATTATTTAAAACTGGTTTAGTGCATAACCATTGAAATTTTGTGTACGTAGCAACGCAATTTAATTCGACCAAAAAAAATGCACCGAAAACCCTAAATTAGAAATTTTAACATAAGGCATATAAATAAATTTCGTTACATTTTCTATGACTTCTCGAATCCTCTTAAGATTGTTCGACTTTACAAATTTTGTATGTATTTTAGAATAGTACGAAGAAATTTGATTATTCAAAGCATGACCGGACCACACAAATTTACAAAATATGCACTGCTTGTGCAATTTGTCTCAATTTTTAAATTACTACAGCATATTGCAATTGGTGGATTCTTCGTAAATCCTCAGAATATAAATAGGTAAAACATTAAGCACTATTCGAATTTAATTAAATGCTGCAGATGGTGAATTAATAATGGTAATAATAATTACGGTATTAATATGTCTGTAATATACAAAGCTGAAGAATCATCATGCGAATATGTGTGTGAGTGTTACTACTTATTTTTTGTGTTCTTCTTATCATACCTTACAGCTCGGCGAGTCATGATGTTCTGTATAGATTACTATGCAGATGAAAGGAAAATGAAAGAAACATGATAAGGTATCATTAAACGTTGCGAAAGGAACGTGAAAGGTTTACATCGAGTCAAAATACAAGTTTCCTGGTATGGTAACCTGTAATGATTTTTAGTTCTAGAAATTTTGAAGCAGACGCTCTGGCAACATCGACCAAAGTATTAGAAGGACTTGTCTTACGGCTTGGCCATTCGTTGATTCTTACTAAAACTAGCCGCTTGTCTTCTTGCTCTTGGTAAGCGTTTAGGTTATCTAATGTGTGATAGAATAACTGCGAGAATACGTTCAGAATATTGTTGTACTTATCTAGTTATTAGTGTTTAATTAATTTAATGAAATTTCGTGTTTATTTGTAGGAGAACTTCCCTCCTCTGTTCTGCTGTTCTACTGTTCTACTTTAATAAACTTGGAACTTGGACCAAGCCTAATGACCCAAACACCCAATTGGAAGTTACCGTCAATGAATTGATAAACTCGTCCGTTTGAACCTGAACTAATAGAAACATTACATAACCTGCTCGCGAAATGGTTAAATAGAACTAAAAAATCGGTGCTTCCTAAATGCTTATTCACTGGCAATCTGGTTTTCCTTAATTAAAGAGTAACATAATATAATTATTTAGAATTAAATTCCAGTAATAACTATTTGTGTTATAACTTTGCAATCATTTAGGATGCATCGTCTATTAAAAGCTTAATTTTATTCTGAAATTTCTGATATTGACACTAATAACTCGTGTATAGAGTGAATAATTTAATCCCGATAAAATTTTGGGTTAGATAATAAATTTCAATAAATCCAGAAATTTCATGAGAAATCACAAATGAGATAAATAAGTTATTTTGAAAAAAATTAGCGCTCGTAAGTAATGCTAGAAATTTCTGTGTGCTTCAAGAACAAACAATTCATTAATGGTTGCATGCTTCAGTTCAGGCAGTGCAAGTTTATATATGAATAATATTTCTTTCAAAATTGTATCAAGATTGCGAGCTAATAAAAATCTCAGTCTATTCACAGACCGAATTTTTTGCACGTGCAAACTAGTGAACCGTTTTTATTATCGGTGCAGTTATAAAGTTATGTGTAGGATGATGTTCGTAAAATATTCAGAATTTTTCAAACAAGACCGCTTCACTAAAATCACTGCAGGCCCAATGCCAGCACTATATCGTTAGTACCCATATCCTTAGTATATGTTTCGGACGAAGCAGTCCCATACACGATGGATCGCCGCCTCTACGGAGCCACCATTGCCCTGCACAGAACGCTGTTAAACGTGGTGCAGGGTGAGTCGGCTAGCAGCGCAGTAGACGTGTTGAAATGTCCGCATTGGCCAGCGCCGGGCCGTCCAGGGTACCAGTCTGGCAGGGTGTACGGGTTCCTGTAGCTGTTGAGCCACACCCACTGTCCATCAGCGGTCTTGTAGCTGCCTAACCATATGGGAGAGCCTGTAAATGCATAAAAGTAGGTCCCATAGACTACATGCGTAAATGATAATGAAGTGACTTCTGTGGGAAGTGTTCGTATGCCTACTTTTGTCCTTCCGTGAATCGACCTGCATGCAACCTATACACCGTTAAATAAGCGTACGCTTCATGAATGCACTTAAAAATTAGACTTTATTCTCTCGAGCATCAGTCTATGCTCCCTTCTGTTCATATCTGGATACTAGATAATTTATTTCTTTCTTCATTCATCCTTGACTTGCTCGATGACGATAAATCCAGGCCAGAAGACAAAGAATCCAAGTTCGGGCTTATGAGAAACTAAATTATTTTTGCCACGGTCTTCTCCTCCATCTCCCACAACACATTAATTAACCAGCATTTCCAGACGGTCTAAAATGGCCTAAAGTCCGCGAATAAAAAATGTCAAAAAGGCTCATAATTCAATTGTTACTAGTAAATTTGTAGAATGATGCGCAAAAATACACTTTTATATTATTAATTTTTCGTAAAATACAGTAAGCAAGTACCGCCATCATAAATTTTTGCCAACCAACGCAATTGAAAATAAAAACTGGGGAATTTGGCCGAAAAATCCAATCTTTCAACCCTGGCGATAACTACCATTATCACTATCCGTCTGAACTGACTGGTAGAACGGAATCAATACGAGCTGAATGAACGTATACGGGTACTAATGCAAAACAAAATTAATAATAAACAGTTAACTAATTCTATGAGAATAACATTCCATCTAACATAACCTTTATGAAATGTTTCCACCCTAGATTACTGAAATAATTATCAACCGTTCTTATCGACAATCTGTCAAAAAATCTTGAACAAAGGGAATTTTTCCGGCCGATTGGGAAGAAGCACAAGTGACACCTCCGTTCAGAAAAGGCGACAAGAGTATCCCCGCTAACTATCGCCCTGACAGTCTGCAAGGTAATGGAATCTGTTGTAAGGTATCATTTTAGCTTTATCGTTCACTTGACTGTTAACCATCTCCTATCAGACTGTCAGCATGGCTTTATTTCCGGCAGATCATGCACCACTAATATCTTGTCTACCTTGAATGTTTGGACTCGCCTGCTGGACGAGAGGGATCCAGTAGGTGCAGTGTACCTCGATTTTGCCAAGGCATTTAACAGTGTTCTGCATGAGCGGTTGTTGCGTAAGTGAAGTCTTTGGAAATAGAGGAAAATGTACTCTAATGGATCAAGGATTTCCAAATAGATACTAGACAACGGGTCAGTATTAATGAAAACGAATCAGACCGGGCGGCGTGCCCCAAGGAAGCGTTCATGGGCCTGTATTGTTCGTTGCTTTGATAAACGATCTGCCAGTAGTGTCAAGCGTGTGCTCCATGTAAGCCGATGACACAAACGTTTATAACACGGTTATGGATGCGTCAAACAAAGCGCAACTGGAAGATGATCTTGATAGTTTAGTTGACTGTGCTGGTAAGTGGCAGCTGCGTTTTAATGCTGACAAGCGTACAGTAATTCACATCGGCATAAACTATGAACCGCAAGCTTAGAAGGCATGGTTGCAGCGAGAGAGTTAGGATTGAAAAGTCGACAGTGAAAAAGATCTAGGAGTTTAGGTCGACAAGGAGCTGAAATTTTCGAGTCATATTGAATTGCAAGGTAGTCAATCCAATAAATTGCTTGGGCTGATCAGACGCTGCTACGAGTAGTCCTAGGTGCAAAAGCGATGAAGCCGTTGTTTGTCGCTGTCACCGACATGTGGAACAGCCTCCCTGATGATATTTTTGACGCTCCGAGTATAAACTCATTCAATAATAAATCAGACAATGTTATGCAAAAGAATATATTCAGTCTTTGAATGCCTAGCACTCTACGGAACTAGTAAAAGTCCAGTGATAACGAAAACCAACGTCGGTTGGAAAGATCTTGTCAAAAGGCCAGTTTTTAGATCTGTGAACAAGTCACGAAAGGTACAAGAACCAGCCATAGGCCTATTCTTCAACGTCGAAGGTACTATACCACTAAAGCAATACATTACCAGAACCCAGGAATTCATGTACAAGTACTCTTGTAAATGAAATCATTTTCACGTAGCTTTCAAATTTCTTTTTTCGACGTCATTGTGTTGTACTTTTTATACTCGATAATTAATACCCACAGCATTGCTGCAAATTATGTACCTGCATCGAATATTGAAATGGTCGTTGATCAATTTACGTGTGAATACAATTTCTTGCACTTACTTGTCCGTCCAAAGGCAACAAAGAACGCTTGAAACTGCTGGAATTCTTGGTCGGTGCGCACAGTGGCGAGGTCTGCTCCACTCCTCAGGCAGAATCCGCGTGCATCACACCACCTAACTCTAGCCACAATGGGCACCACGGGCGTCGTCATCAGACACAAGTCACCGGAGACATTGAAGGGTGCAGTGCAGCTCTGAGGCGCTGCTGCTCCTGAGGGCAAGAGAGGGAAGATCTGCTGTTTAGTTTAGTTTCTTTCAAAGAATTGTGGCATTCATTTAGTTTAAGTATTAAATGCATTTATCATTTATTTGCCAATTCGTATAGATATGACTGAACGAAATGACTCGAAAAAAAAATCTTGAATTTTAAGTTACGATACGAATTAATCGTCGCATAGAAAGAAAGAGATAGTGGATCTCATTTAAAGAGAAATTCATTAACCTACCTATCATTCAGTAATAGTGAGATAACATTTCATCGTGGTTCCGGAACCGAGTTGCAGCTAAACTCTTAACTTGATTAGACGAAATCAAATTTCTGACGTTTGTTTTTTAGCGTTCTGGCTTTTCTGTTACCAATGCTTGTAGGTATTACAGAAAAGCAACAAAATCAACTGCGGGTGAATCCTCTGTGCTCTCTCACGACAACAAAGCTTGATTTAAAATGTTCGATCGAGTGTCATAAACGTCGTGACTCTAATCCGTAGTAAGTCCCGAACCTTATCGTAATGAACTTGTCTCACTTTATCGTAAGTCTCCTAAATAAGCGTAACTAACTTAACGTACTTGATCGTACGTCCCGAACCTTATCGCGAAAATTCGTCTTCCTCGGTTTTAAGTCCTCAATATAATCGTAATTGTTCAGAAACTACTCACGTTCAGAGTAAACAATCGTTCGCATTACCGCCTATAGGCGGTAATCGTTCGCGTTACCTATAACAATAGTTCGCATTACCGCCTCCGTGCACAACACTTGTCTCTAGAATGAGCGTTATCAAGGCGTAGCAAAAGTGACCAAACAAAATCGGGGTATAGCTAGAATATTCACTCCAACAGTTTTTCCACCTATACTTCGGGATATTATAAATAAAAACTCAATTCATTACATGATATATGAAATAACTGGTATAATCTAACTCTCTCACCCTATTTTTTACAACACTTCTCTTTAACTTCACTTCTTGTTGTTTGTTTGTTTGTTTGTCTGCTCTAAATCTTGTAATCAAAATTTAATAATTTTCTACTTATCCTATCGATCTGAAATTTTGCAAACTTGTGTAAAGTTGGCGACAATGCATGAATCAGATGACAAAATAAATGATTTTTAAAATTAAAAAAAACTTTTCAATATTAAAAAAATTGAAAAAATAATTTTGTAAGCTACAAATCTTATAACTGATATTTATTACACTTTTACCCGTCTAATTGATCTGAAATTTTGTACACTTGTGTGAAGTGTGAGGCAATGCATGAATCAATCAACAGAATAAATAATTTAAAAAAATTTATATAAAAAAAATTTATATATTAAAAAATTGAAAAATTATTTTTTTAATATTCGAAAATTAAATGAAAAATTCATTGTACATCTGTAAGATTGGATACACTGGATTCTTTGGAAGTGTTGTCTTTAAAAAGTAATTTTTAAACATATATTATCAATGTTCACTTAAGATTCCACTGCTAAAATCAGATTTGATAAATAATATGCGTTTAAACTTACTTTTTAAAGACAGCACTTCTAAAGAATCCAGTGTTTCCGATGTTACACATGTACAATAAATTTCTAATTTTATTTTCATATATTAGAAAAAAAAATTATTAATTAAAAAAATTGTTTTTATTACAAAAAAGTATTTTTATTAAAAATAATTTTATAGTCAGAAAAGTTTCTTTAATTTTCAAAAATTTTTATTCTGTCAACTGATTCATGCATTGTCTCCGACTTTGCGTAAGTGTGCGAAATTTCAAATTGATTGGACAGGTAGAAGTGCGCGGTACACCGGTAGAATTGTGCTTTAAATATCGATGTTTGCTTTCACAATAAAATTTGTAGCAGACAAAATTATTTTTCCACATTTTTTAATGTTAAAAAATATATATTTTTCTAATTTCTAAAATTATTTAGTCTGTCAATTTATTCATGCATTGTCTACAACTTTACGCAAGTGTGTTAAATTTCAGATCGATTTGAGGGGTAGAAGTGTGTTAAATATCGATTATAAGATTTGTAGCAGACAAACAAACAAACAACAAGAAGTGAAGTTAAAGAGAAGGTTTGTAATAATAATATGCGTTTAAAATTACTTTTTAAAGACAACACTTCTAAAGAATACAGTGTCTCCTATGTCACACATCTACAATGAATTTATAATTTTATTTTCATATATTAATAAAAATTAATTTTTAATTTTTTTATTATTATATATGAAAACAAAAATTTTTAAAATTATTTATTCTGTTAATCGATTCGTGCCTTGTCTTCAACTTTGCACAAGTGTGCAAAATTTCATATTGATTGGACTGGTAGAAGTGTGTGGAATATCGATTATAAGATTTGTAGGAGACAAAATTATTTTTTCAATTTTTCAAATTACAAAAAAAAATTAATTTTTAAATTATATATTCTGTTAAATGATTCATGCATTGTCTTCAACTTTACGTATGTGTGCCAAATTTTAGATCAATTGGACAGATAGAAGTGTGTTAAATATTGATTAAAAGATTTGTAGCAGACAGAACAACAAACAAACAAACAGACGAGAAGTGAAGTTAAAGAGAAGTGTTGTAAAAATATACTGGAAGCTAAAATTTATTTTTCTTAGGAACGAGGGCTGAATTAAGGTTTTTATTTAGAAGGTGAAAGCAAGAAAATAACTGATTGCGATCGGCTGGAAGGAGATCAATAGGCCATGAAAAGATGATCAAACATCGAAAATCTTCTTTGCAGAAATTATTTAATTTTTTTCAGAAATATTTTACAGCTGACCTTCGTGGTCAATAGCTTATACGGTTAGCTTTATAACTGAACCAACAAATTACGCTTTTGCCAAATGAATTGAAAGGTTCTGAACACGAACGAAAGCAACGAAAAGAAGATCACCTAAAATGAAATAACACAAACATTATTAATTTTAATGTAATCAAATCTTATAAACTCAAGATGCCAATTATTTTCTAATTGAGAAGCATGGATGGCAATAACGTCTTGCTTGTGTCTTACTTTTCACGTCCATCATCCCACTGGGCAGGCAGACGTCCTTCAAATTTGGACAAAACGAGTTGTTCTTCATCTCTCCAACCTTCATGAGCGAATTTCCCGGCAGAACACAGACTGCATAGAAGGAGGCAATATATCACAAACTTTCAAAAATGCAAGGCGATTTTTTTACAAAATATTTGTATTTCGACAACTCACCGTTAGCCTGATTGCGTATACGTATCACATATGTATGTCAATTGGATTCCCTTCTGTTTATTTTTTAAAAGCTAAGTAGATTTACTGTTTTTCTGCTCATGTTAATGACATTGAAAAATCTGTCAATTTGAAGCGTTAAATGGTGCTCCTATACTGACATGTTCAATGCATGACAAAACTGATGAATGAGAGAATTCTGATCAAAATTCAAGTTCGCATTTTTTGTATTTCGCAAAATTCTGTGCTCCTAAGCGACCGGAGCTCCCATGTCGGTTAAAAAAGGTTCAAATGAAGCCCGCTGTGTGTGTTTATGAATGTTGCGTTATAATTCTCAGATTATCGTTCAAGTTCTATAATAATAATAATATTGCATTGGTGAGATTAGACTAAATCATAACATGGGAAAAATCATCAATTTACTGTATGTCATTTTAGCCTGATTGAAAGGTTTTATGAAAAAATCTATTCAGAATATTTCAGAGGCATTTTTTTAGTTCTGTTACTCCAAATTAAAAAATTCCGCAAAACTATATGCTAATTTTACAGATCCAAGTTTATAATTATTTTAGCTTATGCAACAGTTTATTGGGAGATTCAGTAAACTATAAATATTATGAGTTTAGGGCATTTGCACTAACCGTCAGTTTTGAAGACAGCCATGCAGTTGTTTGATCCTGGGGTGACCGTTAGGTTAACCAGCCCATTCTTGATGGGCTTGTCGTCCCATAGTGAGCAGTTTCCTGAGCCGTCGGTGAGAGGGATGTAACAGGCCAGGAAAGTCCAGTCCTTTGCAGTGGCCCAGTTCCAGCATCGCATTTCGGACGTAAGAACACCAGAGCTGTTTTGACCACTAAAAGTGAATAACTGGGCAAGATCTGCAGACGCTGGCTTCCAGTACTTGTAGCGTCCTAGACCTACCCGCACCAGCCCTAACATGTATATAGTAAGGGCTGTACCGACCCTCATCTCGAGTCACTTATCCTTCCTTCACTTCGTGTCGATAGCAAATGAGTTTTTGATTTCGTACATTTCAAGTGTTCAGAACCCTTACTCTAAAAGCGTGAACCGAATTAACGGGTCGGGTGTTTGAATTATGTCAATCCTAAAAAACCCTAAAACTGAAGGACTTTTAGGACTTTTTAATACCGTGTTCACACCACTGCACTGCGTCGCGTACTCAATAGGAGCACTAGTGTGCTTGTGAGACGGACGCTTTCGTGTCAGTGAAGAAGGTAACTTCTGACATTAGCACATGAAGCCATGTTTGTTCGATAAAAAGCGCCATTAGCTTGTGCGCTTGTCCAATTGAAAGTTTAATTTGTGTTTTAGTTTTTTTGCCTACGCAGGAACAGAGCGATATTAAACACGCAGGTTAAATTAAATTTATATTGTTCGTTAGAATTAGTGATTGAGAGTTCAACACCTTCCTACCCTGGTAGCCAGGTTGAATTTTAAAGTTGTTGAATGAGTCGCCTGCGAACAGCCTTTTATTTATGAACGTAATTGCATACAAGCAATTATAACTCAGCAATGCAGTACATAATTCATTAAGGTTTGTTCAACGAATTTCGGATCTGTGCCTTTATTATATGGCAGAAACGCGTTATTATTCTCCTAGGTATGAAATTTAGCAGCTGTTATCATCATTTAACGGAATATGTTTGCTTTCACAATAAACAGAGACAGTGGCGATATGTTAATTTCTTGGTGACCAGAATTTATTTTGCACTTGAATTTCCGGCAGCGAAAACACTTCACATTGCAAAGCTAAATTTTTTCATGTGATAATTTATGCAGTTGCTTCAGTTTCATCAGATATGCTGCAGTTTTTGGTAATTGTTAAGTTTTTAATAAATCAATGTGAACGAAATATAATGTATATATGCAAAATTTACAATTTTGAGTGAATTTTGTCGACTAGTCGTTTTTTTTTTCAGTCGTATTTTCAACACATTTTATTCAGAAAAATAAACCTCACTTTTTTTGTGGAGGGCACCGCTATCCTCACGCTAGTGGGGTATCATCACGCATGATGATCGCAAAGATTTAATGAAACGTTGATTTCCGTGAAACTGAAAATATTTAAATTAGACGCACAAACTCATTTTTGATTTAAATCATAAATTTACTACAATTTTCTATAATTTTTCCCAAATAAAATATGTTTAAGAAGTAATGACTATTCAGTTGATTTAAAAATCACGAAGTTCATGCACCACAGCGGTTAATTCGTAAATTAATGTAGTTTCCTATTCGTGAGTTTTCAATCACGATAATTAGTAAGAAAGTGAAACAAGCTGACTCAAATTCCTGCTTTTTCGTCTCTAATGCAAGAGTTTCAACATATTTTTCGGACCATCAACCTCCTTTAATTTAGATTTTCATTATCAGTAACTCGTACCGAACAAGTATAACTAATGTAATAAATGTTCTGTCTCCGGAAATGACCAGAAATGTGGTCAATTATTTTTATTTCGGGTATAAAATGTTTATAGTAATTTAATTATTTTTCATAAGTTACGAAATTGAGCAGAAGTATATTTGAGCTTCTCTATTTTACTTGTCAACGATTTCTGAAGGACTAAATCCTAAAAACATGTCGCAGAACTGAATCCATGTTTAAGTTTTCTAAATACTTCTAAACTCTGAACAGGTATCATCACCGTCAGCTCAAAGTTTGGGCCCAAGGATTTTTTTCTTTTCTTAATGCGACAACTGATCTTTATTCTTTACACACAACAGCTTGAGATATCGGAAACTTTAAAATTACTTTGACATATGTCGTTCGTATTTTTCAGTTATTTTAATTAATTCATGCTAATTCCGTTATAGCGTGCGGGGACTCTGGCAATTGAGTTCGTAAAATCACGATATTATTAACAAGCAGTTGGATGCAAGTTTAATGAGGGCTAGCAGCAATGACTGAAGTCTTCACTTTGACGCGCTGGTAAAATAATATTTCTTTGGATTTGACTTGTAGTCAACTTAATTCAATAAAAGTTATTAATGCGAGAAAAATATCTAGCAAAATTATTCAATGTTTGGTGGGCATAAATTCTTCGTAGGAACATAAATTATGGAGCAGATTTTTCCAGTTTTCGGCGAAGTCTGCGCATAGTGATAAAGCTTTCCATCTGCATGTTAGCATGAATTTAGTCTCAACAAGTTTTGTGATATTCGGGTATCATTGTTAGTAAAGATTCTGAGTTATTTCGGAACATTTTATTCTCTATTCAGCCGAGTGTGTAATGACTCTCATTGAGAATCCAATCGAAGCATCAATTACTGGAGCATCATTTGAATACGAAACTGCGCACTCGCCTCCGTTTGATCAGAGCTTTCAGTGGAGCTCATGCGTGTTAAGATATTAATGCAAGTAAAGACTCGTTGGAGGATAATTTTCTGGTTATGTAGAACAAGAACGTGAAAGTCATCACAAATTTTTCACGCCTAAATTTTGAGCAAAATGCTTTTCGATATGGAACTCAACCTGAATCGTTTGAAATTCAACCTGAACGAAATTCAATATGAATTGGCATCAAACTATTGGCTGAGTTATAAACTTGAAATCACACCATTTTCACACATTTTTAGAGTAGACTCTTCGTTTCTATCGATGTTTTGACTAGCACTTTATGCTATGATTACCTACCATTTATCAAGGCATAAAGTTTTTCAATCAGTTTCACTCTGTAGTTTAGGCGCTCAAGAATGGCTATTGCGTGTCGGAAGCTTCATTTAATATTGGACTCTTCGTTAGGAATACTCTCAATGAGATAGTGATAATGAGCAAATGGTATGATCTTTGTCAGTTCATTACGTTACATGACCGATTAGAATCCAATCTATGCTAACTGGTTTTAATATTTGTTGAAATGCACCAAATATATGAATTTTCTTTTCCAATAATGCCACACATATTTTCTAAAAAAATTGAGACCAGCATAATTCATCAAAATATTTTACCTACCTAAGGCTTAGGTAGAGTAAGGCTTAAGTAAGTCTATTACCAAGTTGGAATTTATTCAGATTTCGACGCAATTATACCTGAACTCAAGCATTCAAGAACTAAGGTTGAAGTTTTAACCCAACTGGTAAAGGTTAAAGAGTTAAGGTTAAAAGAAGGTTAAAGCTGCATGAACGAAACTTAAGGATAGGGCACTAACATGTAACCTGCTTAACAAATAAACTTCCCTATTTTCATATCATTACATTACTATTATTTATATTTTTTTCAGTTATATAATATTATTAAACATTTTTAGTAATTCCGAGTTTATTCAATGACAAAATATATTCATATAAACGCAGCTTTTTGTGCTTCCTCTGAGAAAGCAATATGTTGAGAAGTACCCTGCAGCAATTTCTGGCTTTATCAAAACCTTCGTACTCGAGACTTGAGTTTCAATTGTTCAAGCAAAATTTCAACCTTGGATTTAAACCTTGTTTAATAATTGTTCGAAATAATTTAATAAATAGTTGAACAAAACCTTGTGGCTAAACAGCTGATCTCTAGCATGTAAATATTTTAACTCCGATAGCTTCGATCTTATGATTTCTGTAATTTCAAACTTCTGAGGTATTATAAATATCATGAACGCTTTTGCATAAAATTAAATAGTTCTGATGAACGCATTCTACGTGCGCTCACAGTATACGTGTGCTCACAGCCAATGTCTGCCAATATTCTACGTGTTCTCGCAGACAACTTGTTCTTTCATTTTATGGGTGCAAGGAGTTTATGTTTGCTTATACATTCTACATGCGCTTACAATCTACGTGCTCTGTCTAACGTAATGTAAATGTGTTTACATTCTACGTGTGCGCACATTCTGCGAGTAAGCGTTCACGCGTAGGCTGGCTGACGCTTCAAGCAGAGCGGCGCCACGCCGCGCGTATGGTGTCCAAACTAGGCGCTGGACCGCGAAGCTCACGGTGAGTCAGTGTGTAGAAATGAGTATCTGCGAGAAGGGACGCCTGTCGGTGACCACCACTGCCGTGCATCGAATGGAATATCTTGATTCCTTCCCTGAAGAACGTAGCCTACAACGCTTCTTGACTGTAACACTATCAGCCACACGCCACCAGACAGATCACATCCATTGAATTAGATAAATCAGCTTACAGGAAAATAGCCTGACGTCGTATGGCCCAGCGTCGTCTGCCAATACGCGAACCGGACCACCCGGACGAACCACCCGGACGGAGCGCGCCGGAGCCGTCCGTATCTGTCCCGTGTGTCGAATCAGCCTACGGTCAAACGGCCACGCGTCGTACGGCGATAAATTTTGGAACAGAACTATGCTATCTGAAACCTAACCCCAGATGCTGTGAGATAAAAGTTACGTTATTTAGCGAAGCTTCGGAAGTCACTCGTCGGCGGACGATAGATTTTGGAACAGAACTATGCTTTCTGAAACCTAACCCCGGATGTTGTGAGCTATAAGTGACCGTCTAGTGGTGCACGGCAGGATGCATGCAGTTCCACAATCGACATAACATAACATAACATAGTGATGTCGGCGCTGAAGTGTAGGCCTGATGTGGCCTGTCGCCGATTCTTTTCCTTTTCGTGCCTTGTTCACAGAAGATCTAATATCGTTTTATTTGCCCGGATCTTTTCATGACTGGCGATAGTTTGAAGTAGCTACTAGACTTCCACCGGGTTCGATAAGGAGCTAGCATCAATGAGGTCCCCACGCAGACGTCGATAACTGAGGCTTGGAAGCTTCATAATGGGCTGGTTGGTCACAGTCCGTTGTCCGCAAGTTACAGTTCGAGCTTAAGTCGGGGTATGGAGTGATGATTCGATGCAACGTTCAGTGGTGGACAACCATATTACTCTCTGGGCTATTCGCTTCAGAATGTGGTGGCGTAAAGCTCCTAATATATAAAGCAAGATGATGTCACGGGCTAGTTACCGACGGATGGCTTAATCCACGGCTGATTGGTGGTCATCCGAAAATATGCAAGGCGTTCCTTTCAAGGCTGATTGGTGCACAAGTTTGGTGGTACACGGCTGCGTACCCCCTCCTTACAGCTGCGCGCTAGCAGCCGGTACTGCATTGTCAGTAATTTGTCACAATGTTGCCATTTGCCATCGTCCGCGCCGAAATTGCAGGACATGATATTGGTTTTCAATAACTTGCACATTGAACCCGTCAGATTGGAAAGCAGGAGCTGATTGAAAGGGACTTCGGTTCAACAACCTC